CCCAAATCCAAGCTCCGTCATCATGTTGGAGCAAAACACTGCTTCCTTCATCGCCAGCGCCGACGCGACCAGCTCTGCTTCCATGGTGGACATTGCTGTCAGACCTTGCAGCCCTGACCTGAAGCTCATGGGAGCGTTCGCCAGCATCGTCAGGTAGCTCGAGGTGGACTTCCCGTTGTCAGGGTTGTTCGCCCAGTTGGAGTCCGAGAAAGTCGCGAGCTTGAAACCACCTTTCTTGTAAGTGATGCTGAAATCGATCGTTCTAGCCAAGTAACGAAGGAAGGGTGTGCTTTGCCGCCACCATGTGAACCTTGTTGGGTTTCGCCATCGGGCGAGCCAGCTGACCTGTCGCGTACATGATGTCGTATCTCAACACATGCGCAATGTACATGGGTGATCCCACGATCCCTTGGTACTTGCGGGTCTCTTTCTCGTCGAGAAGTGTGTCTTCTGGTTGGATATTTGAGATTTCGGAGCCGTACCCAGGTGTACTGGTCGGCTTGGAGCCCGACATCCCAAACCGTTCAAGGATTGATCAAGTATTTGCCTCGCGATCCCTCCTAATTTCCATCCCGAGGACAAGAGATGCTTCCCCCAGGTTGGTCATTTTGAAGCGCTTTTGCAACTTCCCTTTAACCATCGAAATGGCGTCAGAGTCGTTGCCGGCCAGGAGAAGGTCATCGACGTAGAGAGTCAGGTAGATCTTGGCCCCGTTGTGATCGTACAAATACACGCACGGGTCTGACTTGAGTGCGACGAATCCAATCTCGACGAGCACGGGATCGATGGTGTTGAACCAGTTGCCTGGGCTTTGAGCAAGTCCGTAGAGACTCCTATTCAGCTTCATTACCATGTCACCTCCATCCTTGTCCTTGACCTCGAAACCGGGTGGTTGTTCCACGAACACTTCTTCATGGATGTCCGTGTAGAGGAAAGCGGTAGAAACATCCATCTGATCGAAGATGAGGTTGAACTCAACTGTGATGCACGCCACCATTCGCACGCTCTGGATCCTGCACACTGGAGCGTAGGTGCTGCCGCAGTCGAGTCCGGGAACTTGGTTCCAACCCTGGGCCACGACACGTCCCTTGAAAGTCCCGTCGGCCTTGCGTTTGAACACCCACTTGGACTTGATGCGCTTCCTTTCCGGAGGGACGGCCGAGCGCGGGACGAGCTTGTAGACCTTGCGGTCGCTGAGGCTTTTCATCTCGCGTTCAGCGGCTGCGTTCCACTTCGTTGCGTCCGGTGAAGCCCGTGCTTCCTGAATGGTTCTAGGAACGTCTGGTTGTACTCCCCCTACGGTGTATGCGTATTCCGTGAAGCCCAACGTGGCGTCCCTGTGCGCAACGTCAGGAAATTCCCCCATCGCGGGAAACGCATACGAGAGTCGACGAAGTTCGCTGAGGGTCTTCTTGTTGGGCACGCGCGATATTGCCCGGGTAACCCTGGTGTCAGGAGGAGCTGACGTGGAGCTGCGTCCACTACGAGAATCACGTCCACTCACCGAGCCACGCCCACCACGCGTAGATGCACCACGCGAAGAGCCACCGCGGGCGTCACTGCCACCACGAGATGAACCACGCCCACGCGCAGAACCACCCCGCGATGCAGCGCCAACTGGAGCAGAACCAGTACCCGACGCTCCAGGCGGCGTCGCAGGACTGAATGTTGAACCGGCCGGAGCAGGAGCAGGCATCGATGCGGCCGGTGATGATGCACCGTCACCCGGCTCAGGAGGGCTGACTCCTCCAGGCGAGGCAAGGCTGTCGTCCGCAGGCGCATCCTCTGCGGCAGGAGCAGGGTCTGCGGAGTTGGTCCCAAGGTCACGGTTGTGGACGGTGGAGATGTCCTCGAGAAGCTCGAGAACAGACGGATCCCCGACGGCATGAGTGGGAGAAAGCGCATCGACCGAGTGGTTGGTGGTGTAGTTGCGCACATCTCGGATCATGTCGTCGTGGTCGGCGTAAGTGAACTCCCCGTCGTCAAACCCACGCTCGTCCAACGAAGGCGGCGCGGGGTTCGTTTCGATGAAGATAACGTTACGACTCTCCCGCACCCGTCTTGTCTGAGCGTTATAGATACGGTAGGATTTGCTGTCCAGGCTGTAGCCCACCAACCGTCCTTCCCATGCACGGCTGTCCAATTTCTTAGTGTGCGTCTCTTCATGCACAAACGCCCGTGCCCCGACCACCCGAAGGTGTCCAAGGTGCGCGTCCGTGCCAAAGAGCGCCTTGTACGGCGTTCCGTTGTGCAAGGCTGCATGAGGAGTCCGGTTGCTCAGGTAGACCGCCGTCTGCATCAGTTCTCCCCAAAGAAGGCTCGGCAGCGTAGAATCAGCGAGCATGCAACGCACGATGTTCATGATCGTTCGGCCGGCACGCTCATTCGCTCCGATCTGATGGGGGGTGTTTGGAGACGCAAATTGCAGCTGAATGCCAACGTCCAGGCAGTACTGTCGGTAAGCCGCGTTCGTAAATTCGGCCCCCTTACCCGCACGTAGCACATGGATGCGTGCGCTACGGGGGATGACGGTTCCCTTATTGAACAACTCGAGGCCATCAATTGAGCAAGAAGTCTTATCCTTCATGAGAACGACCTCCTTCCACTTGGTGTGTTGGTCGACAAACTTGGTGGCGTATTTGAAACCGCCCAACGTAGTAGACGTGAAAGGGCCAAAGGTGTCAACGAAAACGAGCTGAAAGGGGGTTGAAACGCCGTAGACGGCGTGCTTGGGGTGCGGCTGTTGAGAACTCTTACCAAGAGGGCACGCACTGCAGTCCTGCACGTCGCCACGGTAGTCGATGCCGCTGGCCGCCTGCTGCCTCAACACATCCAAGCTCTTGTTGTTGATGTGCCCCATGCGCCGGTGCCAAAGATCAGCAGTCTCCACCCTCAAGGCAAGTCCGTCAGGAGTCTCCCCGGGGGTCTGTCGACCGCCATTCTCGGCGCCGAGCTTGATGGTGATGGAGCAAGTGATCTTCCCGGTGTTATCCACTCCTTGGATTTTCATCGGTACGACTGCGTCCGCCGATTCCAGCCTGGGGTTGTCCGGGTAAAAGAGGGATGCCACGCCATTCGACAGCGCAGCGGTGACGGAGAAGAGGTTGGTCCCCAGTCCCGGAACTAACACGACACGAAAAGAAACTTGCCTGTCCTGGCCGCTGTCGTCAGTGACCGTGCCGAAGAGCACCCCCGTCGTAACGCCGTGAAGAACGTGCTGCCCGGCGGTAATGATCGGAAGCGGAATCCGAAGGTCTTCGATGTCGCGCATGTGAGCCCGTACGCCAGGCGTAAGCGCAGGATCGAGATAGTTGTCCGTCGCCCCGCTATCCTCCAACATCAGGATAGACGATCCATCGGAGCGAGGAAGAGCCGGGGACGTTTCCTCCGCAAAAGAGGCCATAATGGCACCGAAGTACCCAGAACGCAGGTGGTGGTCCCGCGCAGGAGATGCGGACGAGGCAGACGCGGAAGCCGCCTGCGAGGCGGCAGGGGCTGCAGAGGCGCCGACAGTNGGAATCCGAAGGTCTTCGATGTCGCGCATGTGAGCCCGTACGCCAGGCGTGAGCGCAGGATCGAGATAGTTGTCCGTCGCCCCGCTATCCTCCAACATCAGGATAGACGATCCATCGGAGCGAGGAAGAGCCGGGGACGTTTCCTCCGCAAAAGAGGCCATAAAGGCACCGAAGTACCCAGAAGGCAGGTGGTGGTCCCGCGCAGGAGATGCGGACGAGGCAGACGCGGAAGCCGCCTGCGAGGCGGCAGGGGCTGCAGAGGCGCCGAGAGCGTTGAAAGAGAACCCGAACGTGGTGGGTTCCGAAGGAGCCTGAGACGCCTGGGGCGCTGCCGCCTGGGGCGCTGCCGCCTGAAACGGCTGCGCCAAGTTGGCGCTCCCAAGGTGGGCGAAATTGGCCGGGCCAGCTGCCTGAAGCAGGGCCAGGTTCGCAGCCAACCCTTGAAGCTCCTCTTGTTTCTTCTTGTGTTGAGCCTTGCACTCAGCATCGCTGTGCGTCGTCGTCCTGTGGAAGGAGCACCACTTGGACTGCCCAGTCCCGCCACCTCCGCGCTTCTTGCGCGGCTTCGGCTTCTTGCCTTTCCTTGCGCGGGACGGCGGCGCAGACTTCGGACAGTCACGCTGGAAGTGCCCAAACTCCTTGCAGCGGTGACACTGGTCGCTGCTGGATGCGGCCATCGCGGCTCCCCTGCCCGAGACCGCGGGTCCCGCCGCCTTGCGCGACTGCTGGTCCACAAAGAAGCGGGTGGCCGTGTCCTGCAGACCGTCAACCGACGTAAACTCGTTGCGGTAGTGCATCTCCCGGATGAAGTAGAACTCCGGGACGGACGTCAGGCCCGAGAGCGTGATATCCAGGTAGACGTCGTCGGATACTGCCTCCCCCAGTGTCTCAAGGCGGAGCTTCAGCTCGCACGCCTTGGCGAAGAAGTCGATGGGATCGCCACCCGCAACGTGCTTGAGGCCGAAGAGATCCCGGTGGCACGCCGAGCTTCTTGGGTGCAGGCATCAAACCGCGCGTTCAGAGCTGCCCAAGCTGACTGTCCGTTGCCGTCGGTGCTGGTGCCCGCATTTCGGTGAGCCTGGACGGTGAGCCGCGCCGAGCTGGAAGTCGCGAAGAACAGGAGAGAGTAGAGGCGGCTATTGGCCTTGTCCCAGGCGGCAACGTCGGCCTGAGTAGCCGCCAGAGGGTCCGGCCGAGCCGATCCGCGCAAAACCGTAGGAAGCTCTGGTGCATGGATGTTGATGACATGCTCAAAACTCTCCTTCCACACGCGAAAATTAGACCCAGAGCATTGTCCTATCGAATCCAGTAAGCGGTGGAGCCCAGAACTAGAGCTTAACGAGTCCGCCATAGCCTAGAGACAGGAACACTCGATGGGTGTCTTGAAAAGTCCTGCACCCGCAAGACGCCCGGATCACCTGAGGAGGGCCGGCGCGCCGGAAGTGTGCGGTGCAGGTCTACTCAGGGGTAGAGTGAAAAGTAGGCCGCAGAACCGGAGCTCGCGACCCGTGTCCGCCGGAAGCTTGCAAGGGTTCCCCCGGACGACCGCGCTCTCGTGAGCACAGTTGTGACCAACCGCAGTTGACGAGGCTGCGGTGATGTGGCGAGTAGTCAGCTCCGGCCACTTAACTGGTCCTGCAGGTACACAGCGAGGTGCACTGCGTAGTGTCACGCGTCTTTCAGCGCACACTGTACGTGAGCTAGCACGTGTATAGCTGTAGCAGCGGCCGGCTACCAGCTAGCAGTCGTATCCTCAACCTACACACGCGACCAAGCCGGCAACAAGGTATGTGGAAGGTGTCTTGGACAGACTACGCCTCGTGTAAAGTCTAAACGCAAGCGATTTGGTATTCGGAAGTCAGTCGCAAACGCGCGGAACCGAGTATAAATATAACGGCACTCCGCACGCAGAACCAACAACCTGCACAACTCTATTCACCGACCGGAGTCAGCGCCTAGAAATTGCGCCCCCGAATGCTTTACACAGACAGTTTCGTACCGAATGCGCAGCCGAGAGTCCAGGTGATCAGTCGGGGCCCAATAAGCAAGCGGGTTGACTCAATGTGTCCTCCAGCAGAAAACTGACTCCATCAGCAGTAGTAGCTCCCCGCGGAAAGAGTAGAATCTGAAGATCCTGGTATGCGTGCCTCACAGCAGTCCTCTGCGACCGAACACCAGAGATGAAGGTGAGCTAAGGATGAACATCGGTGGCTCGCCCGCCTACGTGCACCGCTCTCTCGTTGCAAAGGCTGGGCGGGAATCTGCCTTCGGCGCCTTGATCGGCGGTATCTGGGACAAGAGAGAGTCCCACATGATTGAGACGGCCGCATCGTGCTGGACGAGTCTCCAACCTGCCCCAAGCACATCATCTATACCCTACTCAACAGCTCTGTCACACCATCAGTGAGTGAAGAGCAGAGTTTGCGTTCCGTCGTGGCTGCGGACGAGGAGGCAAACCTGCCGTACATTTCACGTGTGCTGGGGTTGTCAGCGGCCATTCCTACGTTCCAGAAGCGCATGTTGGTGGAAGGCGGTAGCGTAATCACCGGCAGCCCTTTCGATATTCCGGTATGGAGTTCCTTGATTCGAGGCTGGTGCCTAAAAGACTCCAATAGACTTCGGCTTCTCTTCCGCGCATCCCGAGATGGGTTTTCCTTCGAGAAGTTCCGCCGTGCGGTCGGCTGGACCACCACGACGACGATAGTCCTGGTTCAAGCTAGGCGAACCGAGAGCACCAGCATCGTTGGCACCCACCGTCATCACATAGCGGACCACGACGGTCGAACTCGGCCTTCATTTTAATGCTCGCTTCTCCGTGAAAGGCTTCGAACCAGTCAAGTGGGGCTATAAAGTCTGGCAGCGAAGAAAATGCAGTGAACTGCTGTGGGGACAACTCTTCTTCCTTATCCTTCGGGGCCTGCTTCGGCAATCACGCCATGCGCGTGAACTTCCACCCGACCACCGGGTGCACCCTGTCAGTCAGCTGGACGCGAGAAACATACGATGTCGACGGAGAATCCACCTTTCTTTATTGCTCTCAATGGTGGGCTTGTCCTGGACGTCGGGTCTTTACATTGTCCTAACTCGGTCCATGGCAACCCATGGTACGTTGCATGGTTTCCCATGGGACGCACCATGGGTTCCCATGGGTCTATGGGAGCGCCTACTTACAATCCATGGATTATTGTCAGAGAGAACCACAGTCCAAACATCCATGGGTTCCCACGGGTTCCCGTGGGACGCACCATGGGTACCCATGGGAACCCATGGGACTTCGCCTGGGACTTCCCATGGGGCTTCCCATGGATTCCCATGGGAAGTCCGTGGCGGAAATGCATACTTTGGTAATACTTCATGTTTGTGTGCACTGCCGCCCTCAGCGGTCTGTGGTGTTGAGACTGGGTACTATGTTATCCCAGGAACAGCAAATGAAGAAAAGGATCATATATATTTCTCGTCACGCAAGCCCCTCAGGCAAGCTGGTCACCAACACGCAAGCCCGTCAGGCAAGTGCCGGGAGCGCACCGCCGTGTGCTCACCCGGAGGCCCCGCGCTTGGACCTCAACCGCACACATACCCACCACACCCATAGTTCTCATACGCGTATCCCCCGCAGAGGATGCACAGATCGGACTCATATATATCCAAGTACCACAAACAGCCCCTCTTTTGATACGATGTACGATCTTGCAACCCTTCACGTGCAATCAGCCAACACAGAAAAAGACCCCTTGAGAAAACTTACTCAACAAAACTGGCTACGGATTCAACACAAAGCGTCTCCATCCATCAGTTTATTCACGAATGCAACGCGTTCGTCTCTGGAACTAATCTCAAACCGTTGACCCAAAAGAATCATCCTCAGAAAGGTACCCAACAACTATTTGTGCTCCATTAGCAAGGCGTCGGAACGAAAACGGAAATTTCTGGAAAAAACAACTTGGCAAGAGTTGGCACCAAATCCTCAAACAACACAAACAATCAACTTCTTGACCAATCAAAGCGAGACTTCGGAAAGCGCAACAGCCCCAACTATGAATCGTCAACACATGTCAAATCCTTCTTCCAGTACGGTGTCCAAGGACCAAATCCTTAGCAGCGCGCACCCGCTAATCGGTACCGTCGCTGTTGTCCAAGAAACGATAGGGAACGTAAGCGCGCATCCACGCAGCAAACAGCCCCCCTGCTGTCAGCTCCCAAAATTCACCCCGAGCAAATATTTCGATGCCTATAGCCCCCTTGCCTTGCCGTTCACCTAACACACAAGTAGGCGCGACCAGAAAACAAACCAATTCGATTGCTGCCCATGCCCTCTAGAATCATGGTCATTCATGACATCATGACANCCCCCTGCTGTCAGCTCCCAAAATTCACCCCGAGCAAATATTTCGATGCCTATAGCCCCCTTGCCNCAGCGCGCACCCGCTAATCGGTACCGTCGCTGTTGTCCAAGAAACGATAGGGAACGTAAGCGCGCATCCACGCAGCAAACAGCCCCCCTGCTGTCAGCTCCCAAAATTCACCCCGAGCAAATATTTCGATGCCTATAGCCCCCTTGCCTTGCCGTTCACCTAACACACAAGTAGGCGCGACCAGAAAACAAACCAATTCGATTGCTGCCCATGCCCTCTAGAATCATGGTCATTCATGACATCATGACATCCCCCCCATGATTTTCGATGCAAGAGCAGCAAAACATGCGATACAAACCAGAACATGAAAACATGTAACACACAAGGCATCAAACTCCAGAAAAGGTTCGTACCGTATGCAAAGTGTGTCCTCAAGTGGAGCTCCGAAAGCCCCCCTGCTCCCCGAACGGTATGCCTTCATGCATGTCAATCAACGCGCTATCATCCTATTTCGTGCGCGCGGCCAGAAACACACCGCAGAGAGCGACCACTTAACTCACGACCTCACATGAAATCCAACGTATCGAAACATTCTAAGTGCAAGGAGTCCAGTTCGTAGAAAAAAAAAATAGTCGACTGAACTTACTCCCTCCAATAAATACGGAAAAAGTATGAAGCATTCAGCTGTAAGGTTAAACGCGACTAAAAATATCCGAAGAACCAGGGAAAAAAAGTACTAAAAAAACTACCACGTGCTGCTTCCTATTCCACAGGTTGTGGTAATGATTATCTTGTCGCAGCGTACAATTATTATCATGAAACCAAGTACAAAAGAATAAAAACGCACACGCCGTGGCATACACGTGTTTTCTGCATCAAAGTGCACGGTGCGCTAGCAAGGGAAAGAAAGCACAAAAAAAAATGCTAAGCCAAATGGCGAAGCTAAAACATTCACGCCTGCTCACAAAACAGAACAAAGTCATAAACGTTTCACATGTTATCCCACTTGGCTGTAACAAGGTGAGGTCGTCGCTGTCACCGTGTCCTCCCCGTTCTCGGTCGACTCGAGGGCGCCGCCGCTGCTGCCGCCGCTGCCATCGCCGCCGTTGCCGTTCCCTCGCCGCCACGACTGTCATGATTTCCAGCGCCAACACGGCTGCCGGTGACGTCGCTGCTGCCGCCTTTAACACCGCCGCCGTTGTCGCCGCTGCCGCCGACGAGGTTCTGGCCCAAGCCACCGCTGCCGTCTGCGGCTGCCGTCGGAGCTCTGGCGGAAGCCACCACTCTCGTCGCTGCTCCTGCTGCCGCCGGTGTCGCCGCCGGTGCTCTGGCCGAGGTCGCCACTCTCGTCGCTGCTACGGCTGCCGCCGTTGCCGCCGCCGGAGCTGCCACTCCCGTTCCTGCCCCTATCGAAGGGGTACGCAACACCTGGTACCGCCCCCCGTCTCCTCGCGCCACGCGAAGATGTCTTGCCGGGGTCGAAAGTGTGCGGTGGGGCTCCACTCCAGGTTTCATCCAGCCCCTCATCCCCGCTCCCATCGCCGCCGCTTTGCTCGCTGCTGCTGCTGCTGCTGCTGCAGCTGCTGCTGCTGCTCACGTCCCCCTCAGCCTTCCCGGTGTCGAAAGGGTGCGTCGGGGCTCCACTCCAGATGTCATCCAACCCCTCATCGCCGCTCCCATCGCCGCCGCTGTCGTCGCTGCTGCAGCTGCTGCTACTGCTGCTGCTGCTGCTGCTGTTGCTCACGTCCACCCCAGCACATTGGCTATCGCGCTCCTCTAGGACTGGCAACGGCGTCGTTGTCGCACCAGCCACTTCTTCCCACTCTTCGTCACATACCTTCGTCACCGGTGCCGCCGCCGCCGCCGCCCTTGCGGCCGTCTGGACACCCGACGCCAACGCGGCGACCGGGGACGCCGCTGCTGCTGTCGCCGCTGCCGTCCCCCCCGTCACCGATCGATGTCGCTACCGCCGCCGCTGCGGTCGTCCGGATGCCCGACGCCAACGCGGCGACCGGGGACGCCGCTGCTGCTGTCGCCGCTGCCGTCCCCCCCGTCACCGATCGATGTCGCTACCGCCGCCGCTGCGGTCGTCCGGATGCCCGACGCCAACGCGGCGACCGGGGACGCCGCTGCTGCTGTCGCCGCTGCCGTCCCCCCCGTCACCGATCGATGTCGCTACCGCCGCCGCTGCGGTCGTCCGGATGCCCGACGCCAACGCGGCGACCGGGGACGCCGCTGCTGCTGTCGCCGCTGCCGTCCCCCCCGTCACCGATCGATGTCGCTACCGCCGCCGCTGCGGTCGTCCGGATGCCCGACGCCAACGCGGCGACCGGGGACGCCGCAGCTGCTGCTGCCGCTGCCGTTCCCCCCGTCACCGACGCCGCCGCCATCGCCGCTGCGTCTGTCTGAGTACCCGGCGCCAACGCGGCGACCAGGGACGATGCTGCTGCTGCTGCCGCTATGCTTGGGTTGTTGTGATTCCGCGGACGGCGAAACTACAACAACGTGATGCGATCCAAGCATGCATGTGTTCCTCCGCTACACGTCTACTGCTGTATCCGCCCTCCATGAGGTCCAGCTCATCGCGTTGCCGCACTACTGCAGGTGCTACACGTGATGTTGCGGGCCGCTGGGGAGAGCGAGTGGCGGAGTGTGTGTTTACGTTGAGAGAAGCTGCGTTGGCGGGGGCTTTTACCGGCAAATACGCCGCAGACGAACCGGCAGCAGCCCCCCCCCCCTTCTCACCAACAAACACCTCACCACGCACTGTCCACCTGCACCCCTGGTGAAGCCGGCCGCTACCTGTTATTGCCGCGGCTGTTGCTGAGAGTCTCCGCCATACACCACGCCTGGCTGCTGCTGCTGCTGCTGCCAACACACAGACTCGCCGCCAAACTCGCCGTTCCTCCGCTGCTGCTGAAACGCACCTGGTCGGTGATACTTCCAGTAGATCGTTTCGTGGTTTGGTGCCAGGCATTTGATGCTTAGAACAGCGGCGGGTATTATCAACCACCCGGGTAATAAGAACCCGGTGGTCTTGTTGGTCACCTCGAACCCTTCTCAGGTTCAGGTCAGGGGTTCGAATCCCGGCGTACCTCGCATCCCTCGGGCAGTTCCTCTCGGCGAACCAGTCAGGCTGAAGTCGCTGTCCTTTGAAGATAGTGATTGGCGCCCACGTGACACCATTGGCGCTGATGGTGGTGACCACGGTGGTGTTCTCTCGCGAGTTGGACCGCATCGACTCAACCACCTTCTGCCCTGCCTCCGCGAAGGCCTTCATCGTCTTCGTGCCTTGCGGTGTGCTACCTAGTTACACCCGCGAGAGAGGGAGCCAAATCGCGTAGGTGGAGGTCAAGGGGGGTAACCAGCTACGGCAGATATAGAAGTATAATGCAAAGGTGTACACACACACACACAACTGCACTAAGACTGACGTCTTCTCATTGGTCAGCCGGTTAGCGCGGTCGATGCTAATAATAAAAGCACAAACACAATGCAATGGACAGTCTACCGCGCTCCTAGAGGGACAGACCGCGCTTCACCGAAGGGGCGGGGGGGCATGTATTTTCGTGGAGCAAGCTGCCACATACTTTGTCTACTTTCGTCACCGGTAGTTGGACTAGACTAACAGCGGGAAGAGCAACCGCAAGGTGTGCCTATTCTATGCTCGGTACTCGTCCGAGACTAGAGTGGTCTGCTGTACATCATTTACAAACATGCACGCACGCTGTCCTGCTGTACCCGCAAGCTACACTTAACAAGATAACCAAGAAACCGCACCATTCGATATCCCTAGACGCACCATCCGATATCCGCTTACATCCGCGGAGATATTCAACTGGACCAACACACCTCTCTCTATCTCAGGCAACAAGAACAAATTTGCCCAAAATTCAGTGACAGAGTCGACGTATGTTGGGAAAAAAATCACTCCGTATCACTCAGTAGGTAGGTGCGCGTGGACACATTATTTGGTTGCCTGCCTGTATGTATGATTCGATTGAAAACAAGCTTCCCCTTAAAGCACCCCGAGAAAAGCTGTCTAACGTCGCACCAGTTGTCGTCCACACGAGCCATAGTCTATGCTTGCATATGTCGTATATTTCCATGTCTCTCTGTGGCTACGAGATAATTGTATAATAAATGTATGAAAAACAACTGATGCTTTCAAAAAGCGCTGTGTGATCGTTGAAACATCGCAGGCTCATGGCGTATTTTGCGTTGCTGAAACAGACAAATACACGATGACACTTCATGAATCATCGAGTGAATGAATGAACGAACGAACGAATGAAAGTGGAGAAGCAATCGGCAAATATTTCAAACCGTCGTATTTGAAGGGTTTGATAGGTTTCAAAATTGGTTCGCCTGGCTTTGTCAGCGCGGAACGCGTCCCCGGGGTTTTGAGCCAGTCTTCGCAACTTTGGCCGTCAACCACACGCGTCACGGAGGCGTACCGAGCTCCAGGCACGGCTGTTAATGTACCGACGAGCCTCCTGCGTGCCCCTGAGAAGGAACCGCGAGAAAAAACTCCCTGCCGCGAGAGAAAGAATCGCCAAAGCATGAAAAAAGTGACCAAATCGTAAATTATATAATAGACGATTCATACATCTAGGGAAAACAACAAGCAGTAGCGTGATTTGCAAGGCCGAACATTAACGTGTGTCGGCGACACGGGCTGCATGAGATACCTTCGGCGACCGGGCGAAGGGTACTTGAATGTGACGCCCCCGGGCCAATTGAAACACTGCTACTGCAGACAAGTCTTAGCGCATGCACCCGCAGTGCTGAACATGAATTGTTTGGTACTGTTTCAGATTCAAGATCGGCCATCATCAATCACAGTCTGTAGACTATCGTTGTACATCATCTAGAAACTTGCGATCTCTTGGTATCGATGTGTCTTTTAGTGTACAGTGGGTGGCCCGATATAGTGCCGGTTGAATAGTGCCGGTTGCCGGTATAGTGCCGGTGTTTTCGGCTCGCGCACACCAGAATATCAAGTCTTTCTGTACTCTGAATAGTGCCGGTGCCCGGTATAGTGCCGCTTTGCTCTCTGAACACATACCGGCACTATAGAGGGCCCCCTACTGTACATCCATTAAGGTTTAGGACAACTGCAACACCTCGACATGCTGTGGACTAGCGAATGCGCGAATGTGTCGCTGTTGTCAGACATTCTACTCAAAAAACTACTCGCTGTGCTCGTAGATATGAACAAGTCCGGTTCAGGCAGAATAGAGGTGGAGACAGACTCCTGTCCCTGAGATTCCGTACAGGCAAGGTCACGAGTTCGATTCCGCTCAAGACACGTCTTTTCCGAAAATAAATCGGTAAGTCTGAATAAATTAAGGTCTTCACTTCGTTATAGCCCGTCCAACTTGCTCATTGTTTGCTACCCTGAATATTTGGTCCCGGTCAACACCAAAGAAGTGCTCAAAACACTTCACTATTATGTGGTTGTACACGTAGCTTATGTCACCAAAAACACGTAAAAAAAAATATCAAGAAACATATGTACTAGTCTAGGAGTAATATTTGGCGCGTACGATACGAACCACTTCCTCCGGAGATCAGTATCGGAATTCATCTGCTCACGGGAGGGGACGATGAGCTTATTATCCCCTGTGTTTGATATTTTTCATTTGACCGCTTATTATCCCGCCCAAGCATGATAATTGGGTACATATGCAACAAAGCGATTGCTAAGCGTCTTAAATATCAACCGTCCTTCCTTATATTCCCTGATTTCCCGACTAACTGAAAAGAAGGAGTCGTCCTCGACAGATTTTGGGGAGATAGTATAGCACCTTTCTTGATAAAGGTGGCCTCTAGATTACTCCCCCCTCGTCGAGACTTCATCTTGTTTGCTAGGCAAGAGAAGTCTTCCACAGGGTAACCGGAACCCGACCGGCCGGCGAGGGGGCGAATCACTTCTTCACAATCCTCTGTGATTATTCGGATTCGCTACGTCCGCCATCTCGCCCGCCACAACCACCACTCGCACGGACAGAAGCGGCACCGTCGCGAATTTCATCCACGCTTGCAGGACCACCGATGACAACGGCCCCTTTTCATCTCGCTTTCATCTGGCGTCGTCTTTTTTTCCTCATTCTCTCCTCAAAATATTCCCCACCCTCTTCTTCCGTCCCCGTCCGATTCACGTGTTGTGATCGGGTATCGATCATTCTGGGAAAAAATCCGACCTACGCAGCGGACGTACGTACTTGTCGACCTCACATCGTCTGCCCGACAAAGCCGACTTCGAGTTTACTTTTTCCGAAGCGATGTCATTCCTCTGCTTATTGAACCGCCGCATCCATCCCACGCGTGCTGGCCGCCCGCCCCATGGAGGGGCGGGGGGCCAACGTTGTTAGGATGATCCGAACTGGGGGTCGCTTGTCGCAAGACGTGTGTTGAATAGGTGTCGGCAACTCGGCGAACTCGAGCCAAGGAGGAAAGACGTGTAGGGTTTGTTGCATAAACTTCTTCTTCACATGAACTCACATGAACTCACATGAACTGAACGCACCCGTGCACGCACCACCATGAGGGGGCGACGCAGTATACAACAGGGGTACCTTGCACACCCTGGAAATACATTCC